CATAGATGACCATGTTTTACTATTAGACGAGTAACTCGGGATTGCATGTTCTTACACTGGGATGGATGGATCGATACTAGTTTTATACAGGAATAAAACGTCAGGTTTAATGTCGAGAAGATTTGAGTTTAACCTCTGGAAAGTTGAAACACAGAAACCCCGCTCCGCATTCTTATAGAAGATGGAGAATCTGTGGTCTACTTTTGTTTTTGTGGGATTGGATTTTTTTTTTTTATTCATTTTTGTTGTGGTCATGGTTAGAAATCAGATAGTGTGACTAGGTGGTGACACTAACAGAAAATGCATGCATCAACAACTTGGATTGAATTCTCCGGAGGTACCGCCGTAACAGTACCCTGCATTGGCTACGCATTTCTGATAGCGATGAAAAAAAAAAACAGATTGCATGTCGTGCTCCTTTTCACTAAAATACATTACCCACAACCTAACTATGCTCATCTCCACTATCTGGCTTCCGTAAACGTTCAGCGATCGTCGATGAATATCAATTGGTACAATTTATCAATATGGAGGAACTCAATAAAACTTCTCCTTAACACCCACTTTCCTGTTAGATAATATTTTGGCAAATTGCCACTTACCTCTTATTTGTAACATGGCAAAAGAAATTATGCGTTTTTTGTTTTTTTTTTTTTTTTTGGTTGAAAAGTTCAATCTCTCCAAACAACATCCGCTCCTGACGTGAAATCATATAAAATATGAGGCATTAATTTTGGAGCGACTCTCGTCTTACAACTCCGCTCTGTGAGTAAAGCACATATTAATCCATGACTAATGATATGATTTCTTTTATTTTTAAAGCACGGTAAAAGATGGCTGGGAGTAGCGGTAAAGCAAGTGGGCTGTAATAAAAGGGAATAACCCAACTCATGCTTATATTACTCATGTCCAAATTTTTGACTAAAATATTTTAGCAATTATTTTCTCAATTCCACCAACTAATGCTAGAATTTGTTGTATCACTAATAAATGAAATTTTGATATTACCGAAGAGGATCCACCTAAAGTATTGGTTAGGATATGCGGGAGGTGGAACCATTCTCAGCGCGTAAATTAGAATTTATGAGCGGAGTTTAAAATCCCACCAAACCTGATGCGTTCATTTTTGCACAAATGCCCTTGGGAAATGCCTGAACTCATCTGTTCTATGGATTAAATAACAGGGCAGAATAAGATCTTTACCCTTGGATGGCAGCCAGATTAAGATAAGGTAAGCTTTGAATGACATTCCCAAGAATTCATGACAATTCATAGGTAATAAAGAAAAAAAGGAATCTGTGGAGAGCCATGATCACCGACAACGTAAGTGGTAATGTCGTCTTAGAAAATTTCAGAGTATCCTCTTTGAGACCTCTTTAGATATATATATATATATATATATATATATATATATATATATATATATATATATATAAGCAAATATATGGATATAGATCCGACAGTATGAAGAAAAATACAGAAAAAAAAAAACAAAAATCTTAATATGCAATTATGCTGTATTTTTGATTTGCTGTGTAACGTGAAGGACTTCAAGCTTGTATGAAGATATAAGAACCTATTGATCTCTACGCATTCCTATATCAACGGAAGGGATTTATTGAACTGTTTATATAAAATAGTTCAATCGACTTTTTCAATATTTTAATATTTAGAAATCATCTTCGAATACGTTTTCACAACATCGCCCACGTGACGACGACGTGATCATATTTAAACGGAACGCTGATCTTACATAAAAATTTCAGTTATCTGTTTGGATTAGTTGTGCTCTTATGTCCATCGTCTTTTGTGTTAAATTTTTATATGTTCTAATGTTAATTATGTTTAAATGAAAATGTCCATGAAGATGGTCTTAAATAGACCGAAACGTCCGACGTCGACTTTATATTAACATTAATACAGCATAATTGCATATTAAGATTTTTGTTTGTTTTTTTCTGTATTTTTCTTCATATATATATATATATATATATATAGAGAGAGAGAGAGAGAGAGAGAGAAAGAAAGAGAGAGTACGCGTTGTTTGTTTTTGATTTTGTCGACTGTACAGTATAGTAGGGTCAGTTGGGAACCGTCTGAAAAAACAAACACCTTGACGCAATTCACCCCGGCGGAAATTTGCAAACGACATGCTGTACTGCTTGGCATTCGCACCGGAAGTTCCAATACGAACATTTCAGAGTCAAACCTCAATTGTCACGATGTGCCAATCCTTTCATGGGCTTAAATCTTCTTCTACGGGCATTTTAGATTTGGAAAAATCCAGAATTCACAGAAACAAAATTGATTTTAGTGGATATGCTGAAATACACCAGGGTCGCAATATTTTTCAAAAATAAAATCTTCATGAGGCATGCAGACTGTCCAAGTGCGTTGTCCTGAGGCTACATAAGTTCGCTCCGTAACGTCTCATTACCCACTGAGTAAACTCAAGGACGATTATCTGTTCACGCATGCGTGATAAGATTCATTCTGATAGGTTTCCAAGTTACTAGTTCTCTCAATATTTAAAATAGCTGGTTACTTTTCCGACAGACATCTTCTATCTCATGAGTAGAGAGAATAAAACTTGCGCATTTATTTAGCAAATCCTGCCCATGACAACTATGTCATTAACATAGTTTGGGACTCATTTCAAACATTTTCAGTATCGAGATTTCAGAAACTTCAACATGTTCATTAGTTGTTGTGTCGTGGGCATCTCGACGTGGTACAATTGTTAGCAAGCTTACGAATAAGTAGTGAATTCGATCCTCATTGAGTGTCACATAGTTAGAAAAGCACCATGAGTCGTAAAATTTTATTTTTGCAAGAAATGTGCCCCAGGGTCACCACTGTGATTAGCAAGCTACACGCGCGCGCTGTTACAGTAGTATCGAGTGTAATCCTCATTAGGGGCTCCAGATGTTTGACTTTGTATCAAATATCACAAATAATGTAAATACTTCCAAAATGTCTCAGCGTGGAATAAAATTTAGATAGTTATTTAAGCAAATAGTTAAATTGTAATGATTTCGATCCACACTTGGCATCACGTAGACATGTCCTTGTAACAGACCCTCTGAAGTTTAATAAATAGCTACGTGCCGTTGTATAAGAGGTACATAGCTAACCCAGCAGCAACTCTGTAGGGAGCATTTCTAGATAATTACTCATGACATAGTGGTAACCACTGTGCAATGAGTTTGATCCACACTACTCTACTATATTGAATTAATACTTACAATATATTCTCCGACGTAGAGTAAAAGTTAGGTTGACTAATCTTCAAATCTGTCCTTGTTATTGGCCTCGTCCTGGGCATGACGATAAAGTACATCCGGCAGCCAGGCCTCTGAGCGGAGTATTGGAGATTTTGAGGAACGTGAAACCATTCCTTAATTGCTGTTGTTCCCAGGTACATTCTGACCCGGGGTGGTAGAAACTGTTAGGGTCCCAGATATGGGCAAACAGTGAACACCCACAAACAAACAAAAAACACTATGAAAGTATAGAAATACATTTTTATAATAAAAATACCAGCAATAAATTTTTATATAAAAATTTTACTAACATTTGTAAAGCAAACTGACCAGCAATTCTTTTTATAACCAACAATACATTTTATAGCAAAATGACCAACAATACATTTTATAGCAAAATGACCGACAATTCATTTTATAGCAAAATGACCGACAATACATTTTATAGCAAAATGACCGACAATTCATTTTATAGCAAAATGACCGACAATACATTTTATTTGCAGGTGAAGGTATAAAATTGCGTTAAATATTTAGATTTTGGCATTAAATAACCCATAGAGGTGTTGATATGCATCTAAACAAAATCAACCAACCAACCAACTTTTATTGATCTCTCTGTCAATAACCGCTTGAATCTTAGTGGCTTTTATCGCCTTGCTTGGAAGGAAAGGGTTAAACATCGAAAAGGTTAGTCTAACAGACCGTTGCTACTATGTCGTGAGATTGATCGACATTGTGTGTCACACATTCGTGACCTTGTGCCAAATTCTGCGAAGCTGAAGAATTATCTAGAAATGCTCCCTACAGAATTGCAGTTAATATAATACGGCCATACGGTATCACAGCTCTAATCACTGAGATAAGTGCCTTTCAAATTAATGGTCTTGTCGGTGATGCTATAGATTTGTATAAAGTTTCCTTTCGCAAAATAATGCCTTGAAACGATACGCATTGGAGAAGCAATAACGTGATGATAAATCGTAGTTTTAGTGGCTTCTATGAATACTGTTGGATTCTGTAATACCCTTTGAGACTTTAACGGTTCGAGTTTGTGACCAAAGATACAAAATAACCTCCATAAAATCAATTCATTCAGGATGTTGCGTTTGTGCGTTTGCTATAAAAAAAATTATACAGACAATCCGTCATGTTTTCTCCATATTTACTCCGCCGTCTATAAAATACTCCATAAAATAGAAACGTATATATGGGTGTCTTTGAAAGAAAAGAACACTTCTTCCCGTTCTGATATGGTGTCATTTACTCGGTTGAGCAAAGTTTGGGCACAAGGCCATTCATATAGGACGTACAGTAAGGACTGAACTCACGACTCGTTAGCCAGAATCTTCAACCAGACTAGCTAGCTAAACATCACCCGATCTCGAGATGCCCTAGCTTAGTTTCGGCATAGATACTCAGTGAGGATCTAACTCACTCCGCTGTTCTTAATGATCTGATTGTTGATTGAATCGTTCTCTAGGGCTTATCAACCCTTTGCAGGGTATTTAAAGCCAGAAAATAATTTTTAGATTTGCAAGAATTTTTAGAGATAATAATGATTTACTGATACAAGTATTACTAATTAACCCATAGGTGGGTGAGAAGATGTTGATTCATATCTTTCCCAAGGGTATTTGCGCGTAATTGAACATAACGAACCCGACTGGAATTAGAACTCGGCTCTTCGATTAAAAGTTCCGAGCCATTATTTATTACACCACTCGCATATCCATGCTTACAGCACCTGGTATTTCCAAGCTATCAACCATTTAGGTACTAACCAAGCTCGACGTTGCTTAACTTCTGTGATCGTAAGGGAACCTGTGCTTCAACGTGATGTGGCCGTAAGCCTCTTAAGGATCTGCTAGAATGACTCGTTATCCATTCTGATGTGTTGGCATGTTAAGTTCTTGAGCAAGTAATATCGTATTTCTTGACAAGGTATAAAAACCTATTTAAAACTAATCAAAGCTAAATTCATCTGTCTAGCATATACCAGTTATTATTATTAATGATGTAAAAATCCCATATAAAACTACTCTATCGGGCACCACGGTAGAGCAATGCCAATAAGATTTAAAACTACAGCACAGGTTGTCGCAGAATTAACTATTTCAATGAAATAGAACAAATTTTAAAAAAACGGACACAATTTTATGTTTATTATTAGGTTGGTGCAAAAATAATGACGTAATAATGTCGTTTTTTGACGTTAAAAAATAATTACGTCATTATTTTTGCACCAACCTAATACTTAATTATGATACAAAACAGATTTATAAATCTTACATGTGCTCCGTCTGTATCCATGCAAATTTCAAATTTATCCTAAGCGTTGCGAAACTCATTTTGAAGCATTTCAGGAGTTATCTCCTCTTGCACTGCTAATCGAATGCGTTCTTTAAGCTTAGCTGAATTATTGATCTTTTGTTGATAAACCGGTTTTTATGAAACCTCGTACAAAGAAATCAAGTCGATGTCAACAAAGTTGCCTTCTTGTGTATTCATTATTAATAGGGTTCTAAAAGGGAATATAGTCAATGCCTGAATTACGAGGAAAAAGGTATTCCTATCCGACGTTTGTATGTTCAACAGGATGGGGTGACAGCCCACACACCCAGATAATCAATGGATTTTCTCCGTCCTCTCTTCGGTGACCGCCTCATTTCCAGGCTTGCTGACACTCCTTGGCCATTTTTCCCCCTGATTTGTCCATGTGACATTATTTCTAATGGGGAAATTATGAGGAAGGTATCGGGAATTAGTGGAGGGAATCGTGAAGGATCCGTTTTGCGACCGGTTCGGTTTGTCAGCGACCGAGTTGCATTTTTCTAGTCTTGGGCTCCAGCGGCGGATTATCTCAGCAACCGTGAGTTTTTGCTTACCTGGCGATTGGTTCGAAATCGGCTATCTCTCAAGGATGTAGCGTTGAAATGGGGCTTGGCGGATTTACCAGACTGTCAATGGAGTGACCTTGGCCGAGAGAAAACAGCTTCGCACGCTTTGAACCACTGTCCTTATGTGTGCCCACTTTGGTGGCTCGTATCGCTCCCGAAAAGCTCGTGCTCAGTAATCCTGCATACCCGTGTCACAAGGTGTCGCAACTGTATTCTGCGGTGAAAGTGATGGCATTTCTGACGCTGTTGGCCACGGCTCGAATGGTGATTTGTGCGACGCGAGTAGAGGAAATCTTCCGATGCAATAGATGTACTCATCAGTATCTGATCAGATTCTTTCAGCATCAGCTCAGGATGAAGATTAGAACTGATAGAAAGCTGTTGGTATCGACAGATTACAATGAAAGGTGAACTGTGGCGAGCTAATAACAAGCTAATAACAGCTCACAACGCGGAAGTCGATTCCCTGAAAATTCAAAAAATAGTTGGAGATTACCAACCGGGATACCTATATGGAAACATAAAAACACATAAACCAGGATACCCGCTACGACCAATTATTTCCCAGATACCAACACCTATCTACGAGCTATCAAAATTCCTTAACGATATCATCACTCCATACCTACCTACCAATTACAGCATCACCTCCACCCATGAATTCCTACAAATTTTAAAAACTACAAATGGAACAAATCAAGGTATAATAGCGTCACTGGACGTTGAAAACTTATTCACAAACGTCCCTGTTGATAAAACTATCGATATTATCCTCAACTCTATATACAATAATAATTCCATCCCTCCGCCATCCATCAAACCACCTATCCTAAAAAAAATTACTACACGCATGCACAACCAAAGTCCCCTTCTATGACCATAATGGCAATATTTATACCCAAACTAATGGTGTTAGTATGGGAAATCCATTGGGTCCATGCTTCTCTAACTATTATATGTCCTACGTAGAAAATACCATATTTACACAGGTCCACAAACCGAAAATCTATGTTCGCTACGTAGATGATATATTCATTTTAGCTGATAACATTAAAGAAATAGAGACACTTAAGACCACATTTGAGAAAAACTCCGTCCTTAATTTTACATATGAACTTAGCCAAAAAAAAAAAAACTACCATTCTTAGATATCCTCGTTGAACATAACAATAACACTTTCATTACATCATTATACAAAAACCCACCAGCAAAAACTCGTGCCACCTTAATTTCAAAAGCGAATGTCCACTTAGGTACAAAATAGCTGTAATAAAAAACTTTCTAAATAGAGCCCACCAGAACTCATCCTCTCGACTACTCTTTCTCAAAAGAACTTAACAACGTTAAACAAACACTAATTAACAACGGTTTCCCTAACTACCTTATAGACCAACAAATTAGAATATTCCTCCCCAAAGCATGTAATAATGATAGCGAACACACAACTAAAAATCACATACACATTTATTACAAAAAACCAAATGCATATTAATTACAAGCAAGATGAATCTGCTCTAAGACATATTATAAAGAAATATACTACTCCTATTGACCCGGATAAAAAATCAAACTTATTATCTATTATAAAAATTTAAGACGGCCAACCTTATCCTCAAAAATAACAACACACCAACGAAGTCAAAATTACAAAGAGCGAACATTATCTATGAGTTCAAATGCCCTTTAAGGAACTGCGTTCCTCACCAAACCGGACTCATAAATAATTACATCGGCTACACAACCACATGTTTATCCAGACGTCTTACATTACACCTATCTGATCACAGTTCCATCAGAACACATTTAAACACACACTCAGATTTACCCGACACTATTAGGAACATACTAGTAGAAAACACTAATATATTAACTGCATCCACTTGCAAAAAAAAGACTAAAAATAATGGAAGCTCTAATAATAAAAAAGAAAAAGCAAACTCTTAACAATATCAATTATGAACAAAGCCACAATGTGCTAACTGTATTCGGAAACTAAAACATCACTACCACACACTGAACATACATAGAACACACACTCTACTTGATAATGAATATCCATCATTGAACCATCCTTGATAATGGCTAAAAGTATAGCCGAAAGCGCTCGGAAAAACAGAACATTCGGACAGTTCTTACACACTCTTTGTCCAGAAAAGAAAGCTCTTGTCAGAACACAAGAAAAATTAAATAAAAAGCTTAACTGTAGTACCTTGTCTGTCGTTTTTAACGAAACATGCATATATATATATATATATATATATATATATATATATATATATATATATATATATTATACATTTTGGGATTTTTAACTATTGAGTTGATTTTTTCCCAGTAAATGTCTAGTGTGTGTGTGAAGTATTTTGGTGTATGAGGTAAAGAATGGTGACGGATAAATTCTTATAATCAATGAGTATATTGTAAAGAATGAATGGATCGTGAACCTAGGTTTAAGACAGCTAGTCATGAACAACCTTGTCTAGTCTCCCACATTTTTCCGGCCTTGTGCCACAATTACTATATCAGTAATAAATCTTAGACAATCACAGTAAATATTTATTAATTATTATATTTTTAATGCAAAATCTACTTTGGTCGAAGGAAACTGTCATTCGTTTAAAATACAAACCCACACATTGTAATATGAACACAGATGATTAAATCATTAGGCTAGAATATCTTTACACTATCCGCTTAAATCTACCGGTTTAACGTCAGAATATATTCATTAGGTAGATTACTTAAACATTTTCTTGGCGACAAAATCTATAAAAATATGAATCAGTTCAATTCTATCAAAATTCTTTTCGTGCTGAATTCCACATTCTTGTAATAAAGAATAAAAGAATTGCGTTCTTAGTTGACTTTTTTATTGCAAATAATGCTGATTATGTTCTTGACAAATTAATTTAATATTTAATTCCTCTCATTGGAAAGGGTTTTAGATTCCTCTTAAAATAAATATATTACTTTTTGCAAAAATCTGGTGCTTATTAATGTGACATGACTCATCACAAACGAATTATCACGCGATCTAGTAGATCGTCGAGGTAACATACGGGCTTTTTTACGTAATTACTCGAATGAATAAAGGTTGATTGTTGATAGCCATCTCTTTTCCAAGATACCGTAAATCACATCGTACACATTGAGTTTTCAAGCCTAAAACATCTTTTGGGGTCGAGTTTTCAATCTTAAAAATGTTTTGGGGCCATACATTTGGGTCACTGTTAGCCTACCATATGGTTGGGAGTCGACCTATAAAATGAGTATAGGTGTAACTAATAACTTTGAGTTAAAAATATTAAAGTCGACTTGTACATCGGGTCGACTTGTACGCCGAAATTTATGATACTTGTTTATGTTCTGTGTCCCTTCAGAACCTAAAAAATCGCATCTCTCCACAACTTCCTATCTTTTGTATCTCTAAGCAAAATGTGTCTTCTTACTGTGCATCTCAGTTCATATTCTGCCATCCGTTTACACAAGCTCGTTAAGTAGATTCCTCGCTATTCCCATCTGTTCCTCATTGCCCTGTAAGTGTCCAATTTTCCAAGTCATCTTTCCTCAGTACGTGTCCCAGATGCTTCAGCGGTCTCTTTCTGATCATTGGCAAAAATGTACTTTTCGTTCCGATTTTTCCTTAAACCTTCCTCGTTTCCCACTTATTCTGATCATCATATTCTCATCATCCTTCTGTAGAACAGTATCTTTGTTGCTTCACTTTGTTAAAAAATGTCTAGTATTAACTTTTGCATAGGAAGATTGATTGAAGTGTTGTTTCCCAGGTTGTACTGAATGACGAGCAACAGAAGATAGTAATGCCTTTCCCTGATTATATAGCGCCTACTACCTCGTGATTTACAGTTTCCATTTTCCGGGTTGCTTTTCCGAAGGGACGTCGTGTCATAAAATTGTTCAAATTTGTCAGGTTTTTCACTGGAAACTTTT